AGAAGAACAGGGTGGACTTTGAAATGTGTAACTAGTGCTTGTGATGTGGAGGGATCCAGTATGGGCTTTGGCATGCTAATAGGCACCACGGGTAGCCATCTGTCCCTTCTGCCAGTGAAAAGGGAAATGACTGGTTTGGTAGAGGAAAGCTGCTTTTTCATTAAACACCAGACTCCTCCTGTAGACCGGGTTGAGCCTATTTCTGGATATTTGGACTGCCTTTGGAATTTGGGGAATTGGAGTCTCCTTTGGGCCTTGACACTGTACTGGCTAGGGTTTTTTGTTTGTTTGTCTTTTTGGCAACTTGGCACATGTTGGAAAGAAAGAACTTCAGCTAAGAGAATTGCTCCATCAGATTGGCTGGTAAGCGAGCCTGTGAAGCATTTTCTTGATTAATGATTGATGTGCAAGTGCCCAGCCACCCCTGGGCAGATGTCTTAAAAAGCAAATTAAGCAACTGGCGGACAGCATGCCAAGGATCCTACCTCCTAAGAGGCACTGCCGAAAAGAGTGGGAATTTTAGAAATCCAATGGAAGGATCAGATCCTTATTTCTGTGGAAAAAAACAATTGTTTTATGTAATATTTATAAAAATAAACATTTTACTTCAGTATTCGCTCTAATTAACACATGAGAATGTGATTTCGGTTATGAAGCTTGCAAGTAACTGCTGTTTGAGCGCGCCTGGGGTTGACTGACAGGCAAAGCTTGCCGGCAGGTATTCCCCTGCCTGCTGCATCTTCCTCGGACTGACAAGGAGCTTTTATTACATGGCATGGAAACTGAGTAGCTTTGCCTCTCAGAGATGGCTATTCCTCCTCCAAAAGGCTACAGCAGAGTCTTCACCCGGCAGAAATGAGGGATTCCCTGTGGCTGCATAGATGGGGTCTCCTTCTCTAGGCCCCCCCAGCCTCCAGACTCTAGCCCTCCCCTAGACCTTGTGCCATAAAGCTGAGCTGCATGCAGCAGGTGGTAGCGAGCAGCAGGATACTCAGGTGAGGGTCTCATGAAACTCCCCAGCCCTCCACAGGAGTCGGGTAAACAGTCAACAAGCCCAACGGGGATAATCATTTTGCAATTGGTCATAGTTTATTGATACTAGATGTATTTATATCTTATTTTCTGTAGATTTTGTATAGTTAACTTTTTAACTTTATTTTGATTAACAAATGACGCTTGTGGCCATCATATGAACTAGATGCTCCCTTCCAGGGAGTATTCATGTTTCCATGGTTTCCCTCACACAATGATAAAGCATTAGGGTTGTCTTGAAACTGCTGAATGTTGTTCCAGAAAGCCCAAGTTCCAGAATTATGGCTGCCAACTTAACATCACAATCTTGGATAAAAAAACAATGTCTGCTCTTTGAGTCTTAGTTTCTCTATTTGAAACTGCATACATAAAACATTTGTGTTTCCTACATTAGGAGGTATAATGAGATTCTCCCTGCCAGCCTGGTCCCAGAGCTGCATCAAACCCAAATAACACACAGAGACTCTTAGTTACAATGCTGTCGGCCAATGTCCAGGTCTTCTCATTGTATTAACCCATGACTACTTATATATATATATAAAACTATGATATACCAGTGTGTATATATATTAGTATATATATTATATATATATAACTATGATATACTAGTATATATATATATATATATATGTATGTATATATGTATGGACTTATCTTTCCGAGGATGCCATACTGACGTCCTCTCTTCCTGGGATCACATGTCGACTCCCCACTCCTGACTACATTTCCCAGAATCTTCCTAGACTCTTAGTCCCACTATCTTGCTTCCCTACTGGCCAATAGTGCTTTATTTATCAACCAATAGGATAATCATATACACAGAAGGACTTCCCCCATCAAGGAGGTAATTGGCAACATAATATAATGTGAACATGATTTGTTCTAAAAAAAAGATTATAGTCTCATCAAGGTGGATCAACTTCTATCTCCTTAATCCATGGAAATAATTTTCTTAGCATTCCAAGAGTTGATCAAAGACAGTGGCAAAATTAAGGAAAGAATTTAGATTCTTTTAGTGTGGTAGTTTGAATGGGAATGGTCCCCATAGGCTCCTATATTTGAATGTTTATTCACCAGTTAGTGGAACTGTTTGGGAGGGATTAGGAGGTGTGGCACTGTTAGAAGAGGTGTGGCCTTGGAGGAGGTGTGTAACTGGAGGTGGGCTTTGAGACTTCAAAAGCCCACAACACACCAGGCTCAGTCTCCCCGCACCCCACATGTGGATCAGGATGCAAAACTCTTAGCTACTCCTCTAGCATGGTGCCTTCTTGCTTCCCACCATGATGATCATGGACTAGCCCTCTAAAATTATAAGTAAGCCCCCAACTAAATGTTTTCTTGTATAAGTGAAAGACCCCCGTACTAGGGATACTTTCAATCTGAGAGACCCCCCCAAGGACCAGCGAGGCCACACGTATGGATGCAATCAGCAAGAGGTTTTATTGATCACACATACGGGTACCCGGGCGTCTTGGTCTCGGGAACCAAGCGCGCCCAGATGGGGAACGGGGGTGCCTTATATAGCGAAAAGCGTGGGTACAAAAGCGGATGCATGGTCACAGGATTTTCGTTGGTCAAATTTAATGGGGCGAGAGATTTAGACTGGGGCCACCTGGCTTGAATACAAGGAAGTCGCAGGAGGTTGACTTAGCTTTCATCTCGGGCACATTGTGGATGGGAAACTCCCCGGTGTTAACTCCCCAGTTCTGGATGGCCGACCACTAATATCCTGTTTGTCAAGCCCTCGAGGCGCCAGGGGCCCTCGACCTTAGCGTGAACTCAGACAGTTCCTGGTGGGCTATGTCGGGAGGGGGTCTTTCATTCCCCCATTTCTCTTGTGACTGAATGGAATCCTTCATTCAAGTGCTTTAGTTAACTCTGGATCCATCTGTTTAAGTTGTTGATACTGTTGTGTTAAAACCATTGCATGTATGACAGAGAACCTATCTTTCACGAACTGGGTTAAACGGTTAAGAAGGCAGGGCCCCAATATCAGAATGAGAATGAGGACCATTATGGGCCCTGTTATGGCAGAAATTAGGGTAGTAGACCAGGGTGACCTATTGAACCAGCCCTCAAACCAACCCTGTTGGGCATCTAAGAATTTCTGCCTCCGATCTAATCTCTGCCTCAGCTTGGCCATGTTGTCTCTTACGATTCCAGTGTGGTCGGTGTAGAAGCAACATTCTTCCTTTAGAGCTACGCATAATCCCCCTTCCTTAAGGAACAATAAGTCCAGACCTCTCCTATTCTGCAAGACTACCTCAGACAGAGACTTGAGTGACTTCTCAAGGGCCGTTACTGATTCCTCAAGGATTCTAATGTCCGACTGCATGGCTGTCTGCAGTTGGTGGTACTGGGTGGTTTCTGAGAGAGCCTTAGCACCAGTGCCTATCCCGGCCGCTATTCCCCCAACCCCCAATATGAGGGCCAGCGTTAATGTGACTGGCTCCCTTCTAATTCGAAGTTGGGATCTTTCTTCGAACTGGCTGACAAAATATTCTGAGGTATGATAAGTAATTCTCGGCCATAGCTGGACTAGGACACAGTAGTCCCGGGACATGTTCATAACGGCGGTAGATACACAGGGAGTCAGACCTGTGCTGCACGCCCAGTAAGTGCCATTAGGGGCGGCCAAATAGTATGCTCCTGGGCCCAAGGTCTGGGTAGAGTTGCAGAGGAGGGTATGAGAGGGAGGAATTTTCCCTAGACATGTACCCTGTCCTGAGACTTCAGTTAGGGTCAATCGGTGTGAGGATCCCTCGGTACACGTAGGCGGTGGGGAAGTGTGGTTGGAGTAGTTCCCGACCACTGCAGTGCCCTCATAGTAGGGAGGGCTTGACATTAAGCAGAGCCAGCAATCCTGAGTCTTGTCAGGTTGAGTCCCATTTAGGGCTAGGTAGGCCCCTTGGATAAGGCCTATAAGCCGGTCCCCCGTGCCGGGTTGGGCAGCCTCAGTGGTGCTGGTGGGGGCGAATTGGTGGCGTTCGGTGAGGGAAGGCGTTCGGGCTTAGGGCCGGATGGGTCGGAGGGATGTCGTTGGTCCGCCAGCACGGGGTTTGGCCCGATAGGGGCCGAATTAGTTTGGGAGGTTAAACGGATTCTGAGGATAACGCCTCTATCTTCCCATGGCATGTGCCATCTCAGTCCCCAGGTTTTTCCTTTTAACCACTGAGTATAGTCCTGTTTGCCTTTTTGGGTGAAGGTAATGTTGAGGGGGAGACAGGTAGCTGATTTACAGGACCAAGAGCCCCATCTACCAGGGCCATGATCACAATCAAAGCGGCCCAGAGGGGGCCGTGAATAATTACGGTGTATCTCAATCAGGTCCCAGGATGATCTGGGTTTCCAGTAGGCATCCCCCGTGGTCTCACAGCCCCAATTGGCACAGAAATAACTCTCGTATCCCCCACATCTTAAGGCTCGAGACTGTCTTTGTTGAGGACAGACGTAGAAGTCCATTTGTGCCAGGAGACATCTAGCTCTAGGATTGCGGCACCCTTGTGGCCAGGTCTTTCCTAGGGGTGGCGGGGGGGACTGTATATTTTGAGTCATCTCATGAGCCCCGACTGTGGAGATATCCCAGGTCTCCAGCCCGGCGGCCAGGTGGCAGAAGTCGGGAGTGAGGGTGGGCCACCAGGTACCCGGCGCGTGGTAGCCTGAGAGAGACCAGACCACCTCCCCCGTCTGGGAGAACACCTGCCAAGTTAAGAGCTGCGGGGTGTGAGGGCTCCCCTCTACTCGCACAAGGCACAGTAAAACAATTAAACAACCCGGGAGAGTCTTATCTTTAGAGGGTTTTGGGTGCGATGGGCTGTCCATGTTCCTTGCGGCTGAGGGTCGTCTGATCGGACTGGCTTGACGTGGCTCGCGTGGATCCAAGCGGCAATCCCGTCAACCTTTACCGCGGTAGGGGTGGTCAACAGAACCAAATATGGTCCCTTCCAGCGAGGTTCGAGGTTTTTGGTCTGATGGCGTCTGACCCAGACAGCGTCTCCGATCTGATACGGATGAGGCACGACCGGATTGTCTCTCTGGTCCCGGTACGCCTGGGCTAGAGGTTCCCACACCTCCTTCTGGACCAGCTGGAGGGCCTGTAGATGGGCTTGTAGAGAAGGGGTATTAGCATAGTCAGAAACATCGGGGCCTAAGAAATTAATAATGGGCACCGGGGCCCCAAACAGGATCTCAAATGGGGTTAACCCATGTGGTCCGGGCGTGTTCCTAGCCCGATACAGGGCAAGTGGTAGCAGGAGGACCCAGTCTCTAGTGCCAGTTGCAAGCGTTAATTTGGTTAAGGTCTCCTTAATTGTTCTGTTCATTCTCTCTACCTGTCCTGAGCTCTGGGGTCTGTATGCACAATGTAATTTCCAATCGATCCCCAACAAGGTGGCCACTGTTCTGCTTACCTGGGAGATGAAGGCGGGACCATTATCTGACCCTACTACCTGGGGCATCCCGTATCGGGGGAAGATTTCTTCCAATAGCTTCTTGGCCACCACAGCGGCAGTCTCGTGCCTTGTCGGGAATGCTTCCGGCCATCCTGAAAAGGTATCTACAAAAACCAGTAGATATTTATATCCATACTTGCCCGGTTTTATTTCAGTAAAGTCTACTTCCCAGTGAGTGCCGGGCCTGTGACCTCTGGTTCTTATACCCGGAGGCAGCTTGATTTTAGAAGCATTCACTCTGGCGCAGGCGTCACAACGTTCGGTGATTTCTTTGAGAAGATCGTTCTTCTGTAGAAAGAAGTAGACCTCTTCTTCCCGTTCCAGAAGCTTTTTCATTTTCTGGTAGCTGAGATGTGTGAGGCGATGCAGCCAGGAGATCAAATGGCGGCCCATTTCGTAGGGCAACACTACCTTTCCTTGGTACACCCATTTCCCAGTTTTTAGATCTTCCCGTGCTCCCAGGGAGTGCAGAGCCTTGACATCTTGTTCCGTGTATTCCCATCGGGAGTCACCATGATGAGGTCTAGAGTCAACCGATAGGACTTCGACCCGTTTTTCCTCAGTGGCGGCCGCCCTCGCCGCCCAGTCAGCCATCCTGTTGCCTCTTGCAACTGGAGTGTCCCCTTTCTGGTGCCCTGGGCAATGGATGATGCTGAGAGCTCGCGGCAGATGAATGGCCTGTAGCAAGGCTAGTATTTCTTTTTTATTTTTAATCTCTTTTCCCTCCGAAGTAAGTAAACCTCTCCTTCTGTATATTTCGCCATGGATGTGGGCCGTGGCGAAGGCATATCTGCTGTCGGTATACACCGTCAATCTCCTTCCCTCCGCCAGTCTTAGAGCCTGGGTCAGAGCTACGAGCTCCGCTTTCTGAGCGGAGGTTCCTGCAGGTAGAGCTTGGGACCATATTACCTGATCTTCCGTGGTCACCGCCGCACCGGCCCGCCGCTCTCCGTGTTCCATGAAGCTGCTCCCGTCCGTGTACCAGACGTGTTCAGGGTTGGGGAGGGGCAAGTCTGAGAGGTCTGGGCGAGTGCCATGTACCTCGGCCAGGATCTGCTGACAATCATGGTGTTCGGGGGTGCCAGGGAGAGGTAGGAGGGTGGCTGGATTTAAGGCCACCGGGGCCCCATACCGGATTCGGTCGGTATCTAATAGTAAGGTTTGGTAATGAGTCATTCTCGCATTGGTGAGCCACCTGTCCGGAGGTTGTCGGATGATTGCTTCAACAGCATGCGGGGCCAGAACGGTAAGGGGTTGACCCATGGTCAGTTTGCCAGAATCTTTAACCAGAATTGCTATCGCCGCTACCATCCGGAGGCAGGGTGGCCATCCTGCGGCCACTGAGTCCAGTTTCTTGGATAAATAGGCCACCGGTCTCCTCCATGGTCCCAGCTTCTGGGTTAACACCCCCTTCGCGTAGCCCTGTCTTTCGTCAACGTATAACTCGAAGGGCTTCAGCAAGTCGGGCAGTCCCAGGGCCGGGGAGTGTAGGAGGGCCTGTTTGATATTCTCAAAGGCCTGCTGCTGGTCCGTTCCCCAGTTATAGGGGATGCCGGTCCGCGTGAGGGGATAGAGGGGAGCGGCCAACTCAGCGAAACCCGGGATCCAGAGGCGGCAGAAGCCTGCGGTTCCCAGGAATTCCCGTAATTGACGGGGGGTTCTTGGGGCGGGAATGTTCAGAATGGTTCGCTTTCTGGCCTCAGTTAGCCACCTCTGCCCTTCCCTTATTTTGTAGCCCAGATAGGTCACTTGTTTTAAACAGAGCTGGGCTTTCTTGGCCGATGCCCGGTACCCCAGACTCCCCAAGACCTGGAGTAGGGTCTCGGTGCCCCGGCGACAGTCTTCCTCTGACGTAGCCGCCAGCAGCAAATCATCTACGTACTGGAGCAGAATCAGAGAGGGGTGCTGGACCCGAAAAACGGCCAGATCCCGGTGTAGTGCCTCGTCAAAGAGAGTGGGGCTGTTTTTAAACCCTTGGGGTAGCCTTGTCCAGGTCAGCTGACCGGAGATTCCCCGAGCTGGGTCTCTCCATTCAAAGGCAAATAACAACTGGCTGTTGGGGTGTAGCCTCAAGCAAAAGAAGGCATCCTTGAGGTCCAGGACCGTATACCAGACGTGGGTAGGCGATAGCCCACTAAGGAGGTTGTAGGGGTTGGGCACTGTGGGGTGTAGATCTTCAACCCGTTTATTAACCTCTCGGAGGTCCTGGACTGGTCTGTAGTCCCCCGTTCCTGGTTTTCTGACGGGTAATAGAGGGGTGTTCCAGGGGGACTTACAGGGTACGAGGATCCCTTGATCCAACAGTCTATTGATGTGAGGAGCTATGCCTTCTCTGGCTTCCTTGGACATTGGGTACTGCTTTACGGCGATTGGGATGGCGTTCGCTTTCAGGGACACAATTATGGGTGGCTGGCTATCGGCGAGACCCATGCCCCCGGTCTCTGCCCATGCTTGGGGGTACTTGAGTAGCCATCCCTCCATATCGGTTGGGGCCTTTTTGCTTCGTTCATGTAGTCTATACTCATCTTCTATGGACAAGGTGAGCACATGCAACGGCCTTCCCGACGGGTCAGTGATGCTGACCCCAGTCTTATCAAAATGTATCTGAGCCTTTAGTTTAGTTAATAAGTCCCTACCCAGCAATGGGTATGGACAGTCTGGGACATGGAGGAAGGAGTGGGTTACCTTGCCAGTCGCTAGTTGCACTTGCCGGTCGGTGGTCCAGCGGTAGGTCTTTCCTCCTGTGGCTCCCTGGACCCAGGCCGTGCGGCCGCTCAACGTGCCAGGAGACCTGGTCAAAACGGAGTGCTGTGCCCCTGTATCCACCAGGAAGGTGACGGGGTGCCCCCCTACGTGTAGGGTTAGCCGCGGCTCAGGGGGGGGCTCCTGGCCTCGACTCCCCTAGTCTTCTAGGTTTAGGAGAGAAGCTGAGGCCTGGGGTCTTGTATTTCTGTTCCGACTTTGCTTCTTTGGGCACTCCCGAGCCCAGTGGCCCCGTTCTTTGCAGTAGGCACACTGATCTTTATCTACCCTGGGTCCTCTTCGATCTCCTCCTTGTCTATCCTGCCGCTGTCTCTGTCCTGACACTACAGTGGCCATCAACCGTGAAAGCTCCCTCTGTCTCCTTTTATCCCTGGCATTTTCTCTCTCTTCCATTTCCTTTCGCTGCCTTTCCTCCCTCTCAATGTTTTCTCTCCTCCAACGCTCTTCTCTCTCTTCCTGGCTCTCTCTATTATTGAATACCTTCTCTGCCTCCTTTAGCAAATCAGGGACCGTATACCCCTGTAAATTGTCCAGCCTCTGTAACTTATTACGGATATCTGGGGCGGACTGCCAGATAAACGCCATGGCAAGACCAGTGGCTTGTCCTGGGTCCTCCGGATCGTAAGGCGTATACATGCGGTATGCCTCCTTCAATCTCTCAAGGAACGCGGCGGGCGTTTCCTCTGCTCGCTGCAAAACCTGTTTTACCTGAGCCAAATTGGTGGGGCGCCGAGCTGCCCCCCGGAGACCTGCTATGAGCAACTGGCGGTAGAGACGAAGATGAGTCCTACCTGCCTCAGTACTAAAATCCCATTCCGGCCTGGTTAAGGGAAAGGCTGCATCGATCTCATTAGGGAGCTGGGTAGGCTGTCCGTCCGCTCCCCTCACATTCTTCCGCGCCTCGAGGAGGACCCGCTGCTTCTCCTCAGTAGTCAGTAGCACCTGTAAAAGCTGTTGGCAATCGTCCCAGGTGGGTTGATGAGTCACTAGGACTGATTCTAAAAGGGAGATCAATTGCAAGGGATCTTTAGAAAAAGGAGGATTATTGTTTTTCCAATTATAGAGATCGGAGGCGGAGAACGGCCAGTACTGCAGCTGGCCGTCCGGGCCGGTACGCAGAGGCATGGCGGTGGAGTCCGCAGGGGCCTGTTCCCGCCGCCCCCTGAGGCGGCTTGCCACAGGTGAGGGGGCTGCCTCATCAGTCGCAGCGGGGCGTTCGGCAGGCATGGCCTCTGCTTCATTAGCCGCCTCGTGGGGTGCCTCTTGATATGGAGGCGGCTCAGACAGGAGATCCATAAGTAGAGTCTCTTCCCCTGCAGGCAGGACCTTAGGTTTGGGGAGGGGGGGCGCCTTAGGAGAGGCTTGCACAAGAGCTGGGTATAGGGCGGATCGGGAGCGGGTAGGGGCTGGGAGTGGAGTCAGGGGAGGAGGGAGAGAGGGTGCGGATGGTTTGGCAGACTTGGGGGAGGGAGGGACCACTCCAGAGAGAAACGGCTTGACCCATGCAGGCGGTTTCTGAACCAGAGCTTCCCAGGTGATGATGTAGTCCACCTGGTCAGGGTGTCCATGTGGCCCCGAGTCCATGACTTTTTCTTTTACCTGCCTAATGATGTCTAGGCTAAATGTGCCATCCCGCGGCCACCCGACGTCAAAGGTGGGCCATTCGGAGGCACAGAAAGCTACCCATTTCTTTTTGTGCACTTCAGCGGACTGGTTATGCGCATATTCCTGAATTTCTTTCCAGTGTTCGAGACTGAGGGACAAAGGGGTGGTAATTGCTTGTCCCATTTCTTCCGAAAGGATGAAGACACAAATACCAGTTACAAGAAACAAACACAGAGACAGACAAAGAAGTCGCGCGGCGCGGCTTCGGCGCAAGACCGAAAGCAAACTCTCAGATGGGAGGGCAACCTGCCTCTCTCCCTCCCTCAGTAGGGCTGAAAATCCCTCCCCTTGAGGGACGGCTCCAAACAGGACGGAAAAATGCCTGGGCATAGACCGTGAGAGCCAAAAATCAGACGCTCCTGGGACGTCTCCCGGAGCCTCAGGGGGGGGGGTTTACGAACCCGTCGTCCCCCCCCTACTGCCAATTACAGATGTACACAGCTGAGTACTACGGACGCAGGCGCGGTTTCAGAGACACATACGATCGGGCAGGCAGACACTGGAGGACACAAGACACCAGACAAACAGCGGATCCGCACAGTCAGCTTACCTCCCAGTGGTGGGTCGGTGGTCCCTGGGCGGGGGTCTTCATCCCGGACGAGCCCCCAAATGAAAGACCCCCGTACTAGGGATACTTTCAATCTGAGAGACCCCCCCCAAGGACCAGCGAGGCCACACGTATGGATGCAATCAGCAAGAGGTTTTATTGATCACACATACGGGTACCCGGGCGTCTTGGTCTCGGGAACCAAGCGCGCCCAGATGGGGAACGGGGGTGCCTTATATAGCGAAAAGCGTGGGTACAAAAGCGGATGCATGGTCACAGGATTTTCGTTGGTCAAATTTAATGGGGCGAGAGATTTAGACTGGGGCCACCTGGCTTGAATACAAGGAAGTCGCAGGAGGTTGACTTAGCTTTCATCTCGGGCACATTGTGGATGGGAAACTCCCCGGTGTTAACTCCCCAGTTCTGGATGGCCGACCACTAATATCCTGTTTGTCAAGCCCTCGAGGCGCCAGGGGCCCTCGACCTTAGCGTGAACTCAGACAGTTCCTGGTGGGCTATGTCGGGAGGGGGTCTTTCATAAGATTTGCCACAATCATGATATCGCTTCCCATCAATAGACCAGTGACTAAGACAGAAGTTGGTACCAGGGAACAGGGTAGGCCTGACCATGCTGCTTGTAGAAGGAACATGGAAGACTTGGGAACTTAGGACTAGAAAAGTGATTGAACAATTTAAGTGGACCTTAATGGGCCATTCTAGTAGGAGCATAAAAGACAGTAGTGCCAAGGGGGTGATATGCAATGTGTAGGCCTAGCTCAGGTTTCAGAGGTCAAGAATATTAGCAACTGGGCTCGAGACCATTCTTGTGATATTTTGGCAAAGAAAGTGGCTGCTCTTTGCCCTTGTCCTAAGAATCTGCCTGAGGCTAAATTGAAGATTTTTGGACTAATGTCATTGGCAGAGGAGATTTCTAGACAGTCTCATATTGACTTTGTCACTTAGTTATTAGTGATTGCTCTTATGCAGCTCTACAATGAAAAAGGGCAAGCAGGGCAAAGAGAAATACAAGATGTACACTTTGAGGAGAAACTGAACACTGGGAAAGTAATGTTAAAGCCAAGTCTTGTGCCCAAGGGGGAAAAATGTGTAAAGAAAAGACTGATGCTAAATGGACTAGAGGGAGTGGTGACTTCAGGGCAAGATCCCACCCAGCCATTCCTGCAACCCCTGAGGTGTTTCCTAATCTAAACAATAACAGAAAGCTTATGCAAATAAGAGCCAAGGAGGAGGCCAGATCCCAGCCCCAGCAAGCAGAAAACTTGGCAGCTTAACCAATTGTTCTGGATCTAGAGGCAAAAACAGATACAGAAAAGGAGTTGTGGAATCTTCCTCTGAAGTTAAGAAAGCCACTGAGGCCAGGCTTATGTCAGGGGTGTCTCTGTATGGAGGCCTGGAGAGGACATTATGTGAAGCTGTGAAGATGGAGACCCCAAGATGCTGGAGATGCCAGAGCCATGGGATACTTCCTAAGGGAGGGCTGCAGACAGGATACGGAACCATCCCAAGAGAGAGACATGTGTTGCACTCAGCAAAGCTGGGAGGAGTTGGAGATCTGAAGAACACTTTGACATCAGACAAGGAAATGCAGAGCTTAGAGTTTCTTTGCTGGTTTTTGGTTATATTTTAGTCAAGGATTTCCTCATTATGCTTCCTTTTCTCCCTTTTGGAATGGTAATACATATCCCGTGTCATTGTATGTTAGAAATACATTATCGGCTTCTGCTTTTGCTTTTATGGAAGTTTACAGTTAAGAAATTACATTGAGTCTCAGAAGACTATGGAACTCTCAGTTCCTTCTCCAGCACCATGTCTGCCTGCAAGCCTCCTGTCATGATCATGAAATTGTGACCCCCCTCCCAATTAAATGTTTTTCTTTGTAAGAGTTGTTGTGGTCATGTACCTCTTCCGGTCTCATTCCACAGCTCTGAAATAAGCCCCATCTCCATGCCCAGCCTGTTTGCTGGGTTCCAGGCATCAGACTCAGGTCTCATGCTTCTCCAGTGAGCTTCTCTCCAGTGAGCTCTGCACACTGAGTGACTTCTCAGCCCCTACCTGTGCCAGTGCTGCTTCCGGACTCATCTAAGGTGTGGAGCACAACCTTCCTTCTCTGCTTCCTCCTCCTGTCAATTTGTAGAATTAAAAATATGTTCTAGAGCTCTGGTTCTCAGCCTTCCTACTGCTGTGGCTGGGATTAAAGGCGTGCGCCACCAACGCCCGGCTATGGCAAGTCCTCTTAAGGACTGTCATAGCCTTCCTCAGTGCTCTGGATGGATGATACTCTAAGGCTCCTTGACCTGCATGGCTTTGGGACTGAACTGACTGGGGTGACAGGGAATGAAAAAATGACACACTACAGAAAAGCTGGGATTGCCAGTCTGGGGTCTCTGGTAGAGATGCATCAGCAACATGGAAACTCAGGGTGGTTTGATTGAGAATGGCCCCAGAAGCTCATAGATTTGAGTGCTTAGTCAGCAGGGAATGGAGCTGTTTAAGAGGGATTAGGAGGTGTGGCATTATTGGAGGGGGTATATCACTGGGGGTTGGCTTTAAGGTTTCAAAAGTCCACACCAAGCCCAGCCCCACCCCCTACTGTCTCTGTCTCCCTGCTGCCTGTGGATCAGGATGTACCGCTCTCAGCTACAGCCTCAGCACCACGCCTGTCTGCTTCCCACCGCTGATGGTCATGGACTGACCTCTGAAACTGTAAGCAAGCCCCAGTTAAATGCTTTTTTAAAATAAGAGTTTCATTGGTCTTGGTTGTCTCTTCACAGCAATGGAGTGGTGGCTAAGACACTCAGCATGTCTTTAGGAGTAGCTGAACAAGAAGGCAGGTTAGTTAGTCTCAGTAGGCGACTCTCCTCAGGGGGCCATCTCAGCCTGCAGTATCTGGAAGGAGGAAGTGATGGCTGAGACTTTCTGTTCATACTGTAACCATCTACACTTGGCCTGGGGGAAGGCTTCACCAGTCCCGTGTCTCTGAGACCTTGGCCTCCCTGACTGGCCGTGGGGCTCATGTTGTGAGTACTCATTCATACATGGGTGCACCTGCACATCACAGGGATGCTGACAGGGTCTGGACATCTTCCTCCGAGGCTGAGCTTCTCATAGTGTCAGCGTAGGTGATGCCACCATTGCTCATCTCTTGGATATTTCTTTGTGTGGCAGGTTGGATGCAGAACTGAGTGGGTGTTAACCACTCTGCTCTGTCCTTCCTGGAGGGTGGCTGTCTGGGGCAAGAAACAGCAGGGAACTGAACAGAAGACAGGGTGTATACAGCTTTTCTTGGGGTGGGATGGGGTGAAGCTTTCCAGGGTGGGGATTGGTGGATTTCAAGTTCAGAGCTTGGGCTTTTTATTTACTCTGTAGGGTGGGGGCTGGACCTTAGGGCAGTTAGGATGTCATTTTAAGCAGCTGGGTCATAGAAAGACAAATATAGTATGTACTCAGAAGTGAATACCAGACATAAAGCAAAGGATAAGCAGCCTATAATTCACAACCCCAGAGAAGCTAGATCCATCTTCCCGAAACAGATGGAAGCAGACTCGGAGCTCTATAATTAACCTCCTGGAGTATGATCCAAGTGAGGCAAGAGAAATAATATAAATAACAGAGTCAAAACCAAGATAGGGAAACCCATGGAATTAGCTGACCAGGGCTAGTAAGAGATCAATGACTATGATCTGTCAACTGGGGAACAAGAATAAACTGAGCTAGGACCCCTGAATACAGGTGACAATGGTATGGCTTGGACAGTAGATAAAGCCACTGGCAGTGGGACCAAGATCTAACTATAATGCATAAACTGACTTTGTGGAGCCCATTCCCTATGGAGAGATACCTTGCACAGCCTAGACATGTGTGGGGGGGGGTCCTGCCTCAATGAGGTGAAGGGACAGACTTAGTTGACATTCTATGGCTTTACCCTCTCTGAGGAGTTGATAGGAGGTGGAATGGGGAGAGGGAAGAGAGAGCAGGAGGAGAGGAGGGAGGAACTGGGATTGGAATGTAAATAAATTAAAAAAATAAATCAAGGAAAAAGACAAAATATTGGAAGAAATCAATAAATTCCTTAAAGAAAGCCAAACAGGTGAAAGAATTAGGTCAAGACTTGGAAATTGAAATAAAGGAAATAAAGAAAGCACAAACTGAGGGAATTCTGGAAATGAAAAATCTGGGTAAATGAACAGGAACTACAGATGCAAGCATCACCAAGAGAATACAAGAGATGGAAGAGAGAATCTCAAGTATTGAAGATATGATAGATGAAATTGATTCATTGGTCAAAGAAAATGTTAAATCCAAAAAGTTTTTTAACACAAAGCATCCAGGAATTCTGGTACACCATGAAAAGACCAAACCTAAGAATGATAGGGATAGAAGACGGAAAAGAATTACAGCTTAAAGGCACAGAAAATATATTCAGTAAAATCAGGGAAGAAAAAAATTCCCAACCTAAAGAAGGACATGTCTATGAAAGTACAAGAAGCTTGCTTATAGAACACTGACTAGACTGAATAAAATAAATTTTTAAGGGGCTGGAGAGATGACTCAGAGGTTAAGAGCATTGGTTGCTCTTCCAGAGGTCCTGAGTTCAATTCCCAGCAACCACATGGTGGTTCACAACCATCTGTAATGAGATCTGGTGCCCTCTTCTGGCCTGCAGGGATACATGCAGACAGAACACTGTATACATAACAAATAAATAAACCTTAAAAAAATTTTAAAGTCCCCTCACCATATAATAATCAAAACACTAAACATACAGAATAAAGAAAGAATACTAAGAGTTGCAAAGGAAAAAGGCCAAGTAAAGGCAAACCTATCAGAATTATACCCAACTTCTCAATGGAAACAATGAAAGACAGAAGGCATACAGATACTAAGAGATCATGGATGCCAGCACAAACTATTATACCCAGCAAAGCTTTCAATCACCACAGAGGGAGAAAACAAGATATTCATGAAAAACCAGATTTAAATAATACCCATCCACAAATCCAGCCCTACAGAAAGTGCTAGAAGGGAAACCCCAACCCAAGGAAGATAGACACACCCACAAAAAAAAACAGGCAACAGATAACCTATCACCAGCAAACCCCAAAGAAGGGAAACACACACATTCAACACTACAACCACCACCAAAATAAAAAATAGCAGGAATTAACAATCAATGGTCATTAATATCTCTTAATATCAATGGACTCAACTTGCTTATAAAAAGACACAGGCTAACAGACTGGATACAAAAACAGAATCCATCCTTCTCTCAATCTCAAAGACATACTTTGCCTCAGAGTAAAGGGTTGGGAAAAAATTTCCAATCAAATGGACCTAAGAAACAAGCTGGTATAGCTATCCTAAGTATCTAACAAAATAGACTTCAAAGTAAATCAATCAAAAGAGTTGTAGAATGATATTTCATATTCATCACTGGAAAAATCTATCAAGATGAAGTTCAATTCTGAACATTTATGCCTCCAATACAAGGGTCCCATTTTTGTAAAAGAAACATTACTAAAGCTTAAATCACACATAAAACCCCACACAGTAATAGTGGAAGACTTCAATACTCTACTCTCACCAATGGACAGGTATGCCAGACAGAAACCTAACAGAGAAATTAGGGAACTAACAGATGTTATGACTAAATGGACTTAACAGACATCTGCAGAACATTTCACCCAAACACAAAAGAATATACCTTCTTCTCAGCACCTCATGGAACCTTCCCTAAAATTGACCATATACTCCATTACAAAGCAAATCTTAACAGATACAAGAAAATCAGAATAACCACATGTATCTTATCAGATCACCATGGGATAGTGTTAGAATTCAACAACAACACAAACTACAGAAAGCCTGCAAACTCATGGAAACTGAACAACTCTCAACTGAATTACTACTAGGTCAAGGAAGAAATAAAGAAATTAATGACTTCCTAGAATTCAATGATTGCAGAAAATACTCTAACTTATGGGACACAATGAAAGCAGTACTAACAGGAAAGTTAGTAGCACTAAGAAGAAACTGGAGAACAGTCATACTAGTATCTTAACAGTGCACCTGAAAGCTCTAGAACAAAAAGAAGCAAACTCATCCAGGTGGAGTAGATGTCAGGAAATAATCAAATTGAGGGCTGAAATTAATAAAATGGAAACGAAGAAAACAATACAAAGAATCATTGAAACAAATTGTTGGTTCTTTGAGAAAATCAATAAGATAGACAAACCCTTATCCAACTAGCCAAAAGGCAGAGAGAGAATACACAAATTAATAAAATCAGAAATGAAATGGATATAACAAGAGACACTGAGGAAATTCAGACAATCACCAGGTCATACTTTGAAAACCTATATGTAAAAGATAAGGATAATTTTCTGGATAAGTACTACATCAAGACCAGATAAATAATTTAAATAGAAGCTGCCATCAAACGTTTACAACCCAAAAAATCCCAAGGCCAGATGATTTCAGCACAGAATTCTACCAGAATTTCAAAGAAGATTTAATACCAATACTCCTCAAATTGTTCCACACAATGAAAACAGAAGGAACACTGCCAAACTCTTTTTACGAGACTATAATTACTCTGATACCCAAACCACACAAGGACAATGTGGGAACACCAGACCTTGAGCAGAGACACACTTCCCCTTCTGCCTGGGAGTAGGCAGCTGTAAGACAATGTTTAGTAAAAACATGTTTACTAAAAACGATACAATAAGTTCCTGGGAAAGGCCTTCCCACGGAAACCGCCCTGACCTCGACCTTGTCAAAAGACTAACCGCACCTTCAAAAACCCACACACATCCACCTCTGGTGTCAGAGCAGAACCAGCCAGGGGAGAGGAGAGAGCAGAAGCTTCTCTGGTGGGAGCTTTTCTTAGGAGGTTCTCCTGAACCTTTTTGGAGCCTGTTTAAAGTTTTCTTTATATCATTGAACGAGTCTCTGTGTTTTCAATACCCGACACCCTCCGCACGTTCTCGGACACAGGCCGCGCAGCAGACGTGACAGACAAAAGTAAAAAAGAGAATTACTGACCAGTCTCCCTCATGAACATTGATTCACAAATACTCGATAAAATACTGGCAAACCAAATCCAAGAACACATCAGAAAAATCATCCAAAATGATCAAGTAGACTTCATTCCAGAGATACAGGGATAGTTCAACATACAAAATCTGTCAATGTAATCCACCATATAAACAAACTGAAAGAGCAAAACTACATGATCATCTCATTTAATGCTGAAAAAGCCTTTGACAAATTCCAACAGATCAGGGATACAAGGAACATACCTAAACATAATAAAGGCAAAAGCAAGCCAACAGCCATCATCAAACTAAATGAAGAGAAAAATAAAAGTGATCCCACTAAAAGCAGGAGCAAGACAAGGCTATACACTTCATATCTATTCAATATAGTAAGTTCTAGCTAGAGCAATAACACAACAAAAGGAGATCAAGGGGATACAAATTGGAAAGGAAGAATTCAAACTTTTGTTATTTGCAAATGATATGATGGTATACATAAGTGACCCCATGGAATTGCTGATAAACACCTTCAGTAAAGTGACAGGATACAAGATTAGTTAAAAATAAAATCAGTAGTCCTCCTATATACAAATGATAAACGGTCTGAGAAAGAAACCAGAGAAACATCACATTCTACAATAACCACAAGCAATATGAAATATCTTGGGGTATAACCAAATGGATGAAAGACCTTTATGACAAGAACTTTAAGTCTTTAAAGAAAGAAATTGGAGAAGATATCTGAAAATGGAAGGATCTCCCATACTATTGGATAGGTAGGATCAACAATCTTACCAAAACCAATCTACAGGTTCAATGCAATCCCCATCAAAATCCCAACACAATTCTTCACAGACCTCAATATAATAATACTCAACTTTACATGGAAAAACAAAAACCCAGGATAACCAAACAATAAAGGAACTTCTGGAGGCATCACCATACCTGACTTCAATCTTTACTATAGAACTATAGTAATGAAAATAGCTTGGTATTGGCATTAAAACGGACACAGGGACCAAAGGAATCCAATGGAAGACCCTGACATTAACCCACACACCTATGAACACCTGATTTTTGACAAAGAAGCCAAAACTGTACAACAGAAAAAAGAAAGCATCTTCAACAAATGGTGCTGGCATAACTTCATGCTGACATGTAGATGATCAATAATAGGCCCATATCTATTGCCATGCACAAAACTCAAGTTCAAATGGATCAAAGACAACATAAATTCAGTTTCACTGAACCTGATAGAAGAGAAAGTGTGCAGTAGCCTTGAATTCATGGGCACAGGAGACCACTTCTTAAATATAAACACCTGTAGCACAGACACTGAGAGCAACAATTAGTAAATGGGACCTCCTGAACTGGGAAAAGGTCTTCACCAACCCCACATCTGACAGAGGTTGATCTCCAAAATATATAAAGAACTCAAGAACCTATACATCAAAATACCACACAGTCCAATTTTTTAAAAATGGGGGTACAGACCTAAACAAGAGAATTCTCAACAGAAGAAACTCAAATAACCAAAGACATTTAAGGAATTGCTCAACATACTTAGCCATCAAGGAAATGCAAATCAAAACAACTCTCAGATAATATCACATGTGTTAGAATGGCTAAGATCAAGAACACCTATGACAGTTTATGCTGGGTACTCAAGATCCTGCCCTCATCAAAGTTAGACCCCTGAGACTAGTGTTCCGTAGCCTGAAGATCCGCTCTAAGGGAGTTTCAGTTCAAGACTGCGCGCAGGCCTTGAGCACGGCATCTGCACGCTCCTCCCAGTGCCGGACACGGTTGACGGTTGAAGGTCTCAAGCTTGGCATGCCAGCTAAGCACTGCTAGTTTCCTGGGGTGATTGGTGCACGCGAGGTCCCCTCTGGAGCATGCGCAAAGGGTGGTGTTGCTGGGCAACGACAGTCTTGCCAACCGCCCAGGAGGTGGAGGGATGTTAAACCTTGGGGCTCCTCCGTGGGCGCATTCTGGCGAGATTCCGAGACTTGCACTAGGACTGGCAGTAGCTAAGCCTGGGGGCGGGGTTGCTGTGAGCACTGCGACTGCTCATGGGAGGAGTGAGGCAATACAAACAGGAGTCTAGGGCAGAGAACCGCAGTCTGAGCCATGAAGAGGATCTTCAAGGGCCACTCGCCCTGGGGCTTCCTGAGCTTTAGGCACGAGAACCAAGAACCGTCCTGGTACCTCACTGGGTACACGCCTGTGAAAAAGATCCACAAAGCGGCAAGCATGGGGGACATAGCCCAAGTGCAAAGGATGCTCGAGTTTGGGGATGTTGATGTCAACATTACAGACCGGAAGAAGAGGTCAGAGGGCTCAGGGTGGGTGGAGTGGGGTGTGGGGTGGCAGCGGGGCCTCAGGAGAGGAAGCATCACCTTCCTGGCCTTGGCTTCAGGGTAGCAGAGAAGGGAGACTGAGGCCTGTTTTCACGGGGACGCTGGGCTTTCTTCCCACCACAGGCTCCTCAGCACCCGGAACCTGCACACCCTGGGTGGATCTGGAGCCCAGGCATCCTTCATGAGAAGCAAAGGAAAAATTGAACCTAAGTTGGCTTCCAACCCCCATATAATTCTGCTTTGAGAGCATTTTATTGACAATTTAAATGTGATTTCACCCACAGAGTTGAGATACCCAGTGTTTTCTTTAAATGTGTGCATGGAAAAATTCCTAATGCTATGGGTACCAGGGCAAAAAAAAAAAAAAAACACAAAAAAAAAAACAAAAAAACATTCAACACAATCCTGTATTCATTTTATTTCGCGGGAACCAAGGACTACATGTTATTCCCGAGGGGCCCTACATGGAAGCGGAAGGGAGAGGATAGTTCCATGGTTTTCTTCACAGTCTGTTCTTTGGGGTGGCCATCTTCACTTGGCACACGCTGCCTCGGCTTGGTTCTCTGGCCTCGAGGCGGCATGGTTTGACTAGCATCGGTCTCGGTCACAGGGTGTGTGATGGATGCTCTGAACTTTCCACAAGTCACTCATTACTTTAGCTGCTTCCTTGATGGCAAAGCAGACGGTTCACAGGAGGCTGTCTCATCTTTGAGACCATCAAAACCATGGCGCTTCCCGACACGGTCCCTACTTCAGGCAGACTACAGTCAACAACGCTTCCCAAATCTCCTTTGCAAACTCGTCCATTGTCTCTGTGGCAGTGTCATTCCCTTTGGGATCATCAGGGTTTCACTGCGGTCCATCCCCAGCACCGCTAAGTAGAAAGAAAGAAATTCCAGTAGGCTGCTATGCTTCACGAGAAAGGTGAATGCGGTCCCTGCACTGTGGTCCCCGTTCTCAGGAGTGTGCTCTGTCCCTCACAGGACGGCTCTGCATTACGCCTGTGCTCATGGCCAGTCGGAAATGGTGACCCTCTTGCTATGGTATGCCTGCAACATTGAAGCCCGAGACCGTGAAGAAAGCACAGCTCTGATCAAGGTAATTAGGAGCCAACATGTGCAGCCGCAGACGGACTAGCATAGCTCCCAGATATTCAGGTGTGGGAGGCAGACGTGGGGCCTGTACCCTGGCTTATCGGAGGCAGAGGCGTGAGGACCGAGATTTGACACAAGCCTGGGGTGCGCAAGTTTCATTACAGCCCGGGAAACATAGGAAAGCAATCTCAAAACTTTTTTTTAAAAACTTGAATAAAAATGAATTTCTGGCATTGAAGTGTAACTGTTTGGAGAGACTCATGGAAACATTATCTTGAATATCCATAGTTGACAGTCTGTTCCCCTGGGACAATCCCCACAGGCAACACAGCGCCAGCATGAGGAGTGTGTAAAGATTCTACTGGAGAATGGTGCGGACCCAAACCCTGTTGACATAAATCAAAGCACTGCTCTCCACTATGCAGTCTACAACAACACGACCTCCATAGCTGCCAGACTTCTGGCATTCAATGCGGACACTGAAACGAAGACAAAGGTAACACCCAACTTTATTTCCCAAATACCTGAAAGGCATTTACCTGGAACTGTTTCCACATATAGAAACTAAAGTGAGTATTCCTTGACTAAAAATGTATGTATCCATAAAAACTTATGTAGTCATAAAAATATTTGAGAAAACTGTATTCATATAAGTTAAATGTAAAAGAGATGCATGTTTTTCGAATATGTCACCAAAGGTTTCTTAATTGTCTTAGTTAGGGTGTCTATTGCTGCGCAGAGACACCACAGAAGCTCTTATGAAGGAAAGCATTTAATTCCGGTGGTGGCTCACAGTTTCAGAGATTGATTCCATCGCCATGGCAGGACATGGTGGCGTGCGAGCAGATGTGGTGCTGGACAAGGAGCTGGCAGGCGGCAGGAAGTGAAGGCTGTCACACTAGACCTAGCTTGAACATTTAAGACCTCAAAGCCCACCCCTGTCACACACACCTCCTCCAGAAAAGTCACACCTACCCCAACAAGGCCACGCCTCCTAATAGTGCCACTTCCCAAGAGCCTATGGGGGCCATTTTCTTTCAAACCACCACAATTGGTAAAGCTTGTTTTTAATGAATGGAAAAGATTTGTTGTGCAAAAACTCCCTTTGTCCATAATCACTTAGATACAAAGTGAAAAACTCAAAGACTGGAGTCAAGGGGACCCAGAAACAGTTGTCCACACCTAAGGTTAAGGAGGCTTCTGCAGAGTCTCACTTCCTGTGAGCTCGTGGGTCTGCCTATGGACAAGACATCACTTACACACAACACCCATGTGTTCTCCAGCTTACGAGGGACACCTGGGCATTTCATCATATCACCAAAGTTTCCTCTATGTTCTGAAGTTTGCATCTTCTACCTGAAGCATAGCATTAACAAGATTTCATGGTTTCCAACATTGTTTCTACTAATGGATGAAGATAATACACACCTGTACTTCATGTTAATCTTTTGGAAATAACTCTGTGGTGTCTAAAATGGAACTAGAACCACAGAGAATTTTAAATAGTGTATTTTTAGGGGTACCATGTTCTAGTTCTGTGTGAGGTAAAATGTATTGAACTTACTACTGACACACCAGCCTTTCACCTTGTACTGAGTGATTAAACTCCATCAGAAGCCTATAGATTTTAATACAGAGTTGTAGGAGCCCATGTTGGAGGAGTATCAAATGACTTTGGAAGGATCAAATGTATCTTTCCTGTGACTTGGCGGAAATGTATTATTGGAATACTAAATTATGTATTGCATTCTTCAACAAATAGGAATTTTTCAAAATACAGAAGATCTCTTCCTCTAGGATTTGTAACAAACATGAAGCCTTGCAGTGTTCTCTAAACATGATCGCAGTGCTGTCTGCTGGGCTGATATTTTCAGACAGTAAAACCTGCTATAGGGAGGGCAATCTTAATTCATTCAAGAAAAGCACTTCTATCCTAAGCTTCCTGGCACCGTGGAAAAGACAGCCCTGACCTCAGGTAGCTCCTAACTTACTTGGCACAGCATTACATGGTGTTCACCGTGCTGATGGAAACACTTCTGGCTGAGTTTAAAGAAGATTGGCTGTCTCTGGAAAGGGACAGTAGCTGTCTTTGTTAGGATTTCCATTGCTGTGAAACACCATGATCAAAAAGCAAGTTGGGGAGGAAAGGGTTTATTAGGCTTACACTTCAGCATTGCTGTTCATCTCTGAAGGGAGTCAGGACAGGAACCACCTACACCAGTTGGAAGAACAGGTGAGTGACCTCTCCCAGCTAAACAGCCCCCAGACTCTGGGCCCAGCCCAAGGGCACATCCAGGGCCCCTCCCTCCCATCTCAGCCCTAGCAAGGCAGCTGGGCCCAGACCCACATTCTGGTGGATCTCCACTTCTCTGCAGCAGTCTCCAGCAGCCAGCTAACAGGTGAGAGAGCTTCCAGAGCATTGGGCTTGCCTACACCCACCAGAAGGGAACTCTGGTTCGGCACCCGCCAGGAGAAGAAGAGACACCGTTTGGAACCCACTGCAAGAACAGATGAGAAGGAGACAATATAAAAACACAAGGAGCAACAGAAAAACCAATATGACACCACCAGAGTCCAGAGACCCTACACCAGCAAGACTGGAACACCCCAACACAAATGTGTAAAGAGATGCCTTTTTCTTTGAGAGGAGCCGTTCCACCAGCCTGGTTCTAGAGCCGCATCAGTCCCAAATAAACACACAGGAGGCTATATTAGTTATGAAGCTGTTGGCCTTGCTTGTCTCTTACTGGCTAGCTCTGCTTTAAGTAATTACCCCATAATTGTTCATCTAAGTATGTCTCTTACCGGAGAATAGTTCCGGGCTCCTACCCCATGGCGTTACATGTTGACTCTCTTGTGTTTCTCCTTCCCAGAATCCTCCTGGACTCCTAGTCCCACCTATCTAGATTCCTATTGGCTCAACAGTACTTTATTGACAAAGGACTTCCCCAACATCTCCTCTTTTCTGTTTAAACAAAAAGAAAGGTCTTAACTTTAACATAGTCAAATTGTATATAACAGAACAGTTATCAAGTAAGAACATAGTTACAATATTTTGTCAATATTTAGCAAGATTTAAAGAAAATATCATCCATCCCATTCTTGTGAGTCTAAAGTTCTATATGTAGCTTATCTTTTATCGTAACTAAGGAAAACTATAATTATAACTATCTGTCTTCAACTCCATCAAAGACCACAGAAGGATAATATATAAACACTAGGATTGACAGAGACATCATACTGCCTGGACAGTCACCCGAAGTTCCTCTGTAACATTGGGACATCCATCTTCAGCCCATAGGCCACAATGTGTCTGGAACACTTCTCAACAAAGCAGGAAATTTCAAACTGTCCATCTGCATTGGCAGTCTGTCAGTCATTTTTCTGTGTCCTGCAGAAAGTCTGGTAGACTCTTCCATGAAGCAGGAACCCTGTAAGACTGAGTTCAGCAGTCACTTTTCTGTGGGTCCTGCATGTTCAGTTTATATAGCAACAGTCAAACAGTACAGGCAAGAGCAGTTTCTTGCCCAAATGGCTAATCTTGCCATGTTGAAAGCAAACTCCATAACAAGTTTCTTCAATGCCCATCTTCCTCTCAGACATAATTGGTGCTGCCAGGAGCAGACATTTCTCATTGTCAAGAAAAACCCTAAACCATTTTAAATGCCATTTTCTGAAGGTCTTTGAAAGGTTTGAAGACTGTTTATCTATCTCAAATATATTTCTGTATATCTAGAAAACCTAACTTACCTAACTATCTATAGTCTGTATTCAATTATGCATTACATTTTAAAAGATCAGTATAAGCACAATAATTAAGAGGAGAAATATACACATCATAAAATTGACCTTAAATTTGTATCAATAAATGAAAAACCATACCCATAACATAATTCCCCTTTTTACCATTAACAAGAGATCGGCTGTGATCATTAGCCAATTATAAACAACCCCTTTAAATGAAAACAAAGATTTATAAATAAGATGGGAATTAGGACGTCGCTCATTCCAAACTGCTTCGTGCTGGAAGGGGGCGCTGTTCATACCATGGGGATCATGACAAAACTCAGAAACCTGTATAAGTCCTTATATTCGTGGTCTGTAAAGCTCCATCATCTTGGCTGTCTCAATTGTTGAAATGCCTGGCCCACTGCTTCCGGGGGTCTTGGTTCATCAAACCACAGAAGCCTGGAAGGAATTCTCAGCTTTTCATTTTCTGTAGAAACATAAATAAAAACTCCTTTTCCAAGTAACATATCCTTATACTTAAATTTTGAAGTCAAGGTATTTTCAAAAGATATAAGTTGAATTAATTCAGCAGCATTTATAATCAAGTATACTTTAGCATTTTTTCCTTCCTTAGCAATGAAAAACCGAAAAACACAATAGCGTACAGTATCCAGACTCTCTGTGTATTTTCCATCTTTACGTGGCTTATTTATTTATCTATTACTCTATTTCTTTTACTTTTATTTATTTTTCTTTGAGACAGGATTTCTCTTTGGAAATCTGCCTGCCTCTGCCTCTGTAGCAATTTCTCCCGGCGTGCGCCACCACAACGCCGGCTTTTCTATTTATTTACCACTTTGCCATTTCATTTTCTCTCTTAATCTCATGTATATTTTTAAACACACTGTAAACTTTTAGAGGTTTTGTTCATCCAAGTCTGACTTTACTGTAAATCTTTACGTTTTTCTGGCCACATGTCTTATCTGTAAAACCGCGGCTGTTTTAAACTGCCGGTTTTTCGTCAAGATGGCAGGCGTAAGCGTGATTCCAGCTTACCGCCTCAGTCCATGCTGACCTCCAGCAAAAGCTGCCACTTCCAGCTGTATGTACACACCTTTTAATCGTTAGCAGAGTCTCTTAAAACAACCTTGCTGGGTTTTTTTTCTCTTTTTATGCCGAGTCAGGAAGACTCCAGTAAGCAAGCCACATGAATATCTCGGATTGTCGATAGCAAAACACATGAGAAAAATGCTGCTATCAAAAATCTGTGCTTCTCTCCGTTCTTCTGTTTCTATAATTCCTTTAAAGCTTTTGTCATTCTACGTGGAAATTCATCATCCCACTCCTGACACCATTCTGTAAAGAGAAGCTTTTTCCTCGAGAGAATGCCTTCCCACCAGCCTGGTTCTAGAGCCGCATCAGTCCCAAATAAACACACAGGAGGCTATATTCATTATGAAGCTGTTGGCCTTGCTTGTTTCTTACTGGCTAGCTCTGACTTAAGTAATTACCCCATAATTGTTAATCTAAGTGTTTCTCTTACCGGAGAATAGTTCCGGGCTTCCTACCCATGGCGGTTACATGTTGACTCTCCTGTGTTTCTCCTTCCCAGAGTCCTCCTGGACTCCTAGTCCCACCTATCTAGATTCCTATTGGCTCAACAGTACTTTATTGACAAATGTACAGGACTTCCCCCATCACAAATGAAGCAGAAGAGAATGACATAAAAACAACTTCATGGAAATGATAGAGGCCCTCAGAGAGGAT